TTTGCTAAAATCTTTTAAGGTAAGCAGTTACAAACTATTTATATGGGCTGAATTTAAACAAACAAATGTTCAACTTAATTTGTTTGTTTAAATTCAGCCCACATGAATCGTTTGCAACCACTTACCTTAAAATCATACCTTAAAAACTTAGATCGTTTCGGGGTTGTACCTCATTGATGACACTGTTTTATAAACAATTTGTTGAATCTGATTTATCTTTCTGCATTATAGCTTGGTACGGTAATCTGAGTTTGTCAAACAAGAACAGGTTGAGTAGCCTTGTGAAGGTGAAAGGCAAGATCATCAGTTTTAACCAAACTGGTCCAAAGATAATTTACCATAATTATGTTTTAAAGAGGGCTCATCCTATGCACCCTGGATCACCTATTGTACTCTGCTGTCATCAGGACGTCGTTTTAGAGTTCTTATTTGCAGGACAAATAGAATTAGTGGCCATTAGGTCATTAAATAAGTCCAGTGAGGAGGGAGATGCACCTACAAAAATAATGTATTGTATTGTATGTTGTGTTGAAATATTTTGTTTACATGTACATGAAACTTTGCTTGTGTTAAGGCACCTTGCTGCAATTTTAGTTTCTCTAAACGGGATAATAAAGAAGAGTCTGTGTCTGAAACACTTAGTAAATCCCATGAAGGTTTTTTTAGTGTACCACTACTACTACACACCCCAAAATTTGTTTATAAATAGAGAAAAAAAATAACTGACAACAAAAAAACATCACTGTAGAGTTTGTTAAAAGGTTTATTAATTATAGAGGAAATTTTATGTGATGAAAAACATCAGAGTGAAAGAACAGAATGCAAGTATATAATTAGAGTGTCACTAGAGCACAGATTAGCTTCTTTTACGATATAATTTCTTCATGAAAGAAACAAACATCAAAGTGCCCTATATATGACAGCTCAAATTTCCTTACCACAAAACCCATAGCATTTCTTTTTAAGACATTTAAACGCTGGTATTCAGCATTTGCTGCAACAACAGTTTTACATAATCATCAGGTTATTGCTTGTGTAACGATCGCAAATAGAAAACTTGATACATGTTTTGAATCGCAGCCCGATCAAGCACTTGAACAGAACAAATCAACCTGAACAACCTAAAAGAGCAATAAATGCTTGACAGATGAAGCCTCGCTCTAATTCAAATCAAATCGAAAAGCAATTTGAATAAAAACAACTTGAGGTGGGCCTTGGGAATAAGTAGTAAAGCAAAAGGAAGAAAGGGCAACCTAATTTTGCCAAGTAATACAGCAATAATTCTCTTTCCAATAACACTCCTAATGCTTTAAAGGCATAACACATCCAAACGTCTAATTAAGTCTGAAAATATTTGGTCTTTCTATATAAAAACTGGAAATAAAGTTCGGTTCAAGTAGCGAACATGCATAGCCTCTAGGTAGTGTGAAAAACAACAACAAAACAGACCATTCAAACATCGCATCCCTCAACACGCAACATCAGCTACAAGTCACAGCTGTGTTTGTGCTCAAACAACACCACCTAAGCTCCAAGCAGGCTAAAAAAAGGCACTTATAGAAAAGGTACTAAGAAAAGGAGGTATAGATTGAAGCACTAATGAAGCTCTCGTCACTTAAAGCTACAGCACATTTCATTTTACACACTGAAAAACCCACAAACTGCCGTAATAAATCAAGAAGGGGCTGTTACCGATTATTTATATCCGGTCTGCATATATATCACGACTCTCAGATCTGAATTTACCCTTCAAGCAGAGGAAAAGTGCCTCAGGGCGGCACTGCAGCTCGCTGATATGACGGCAAATTACTTGAGGTGTTAACTCTCTAAACCTCGACATTTAATACGCCATTTTGTAGATATATATGTACAGGATTTTTAGATTTTCCCAAATGTGTGCACTGTAGCTTTAAGAACAGCTCAAACACTTTCTAGTCGAATAAAAAAAGTCTGCATATCCTTCTTAGTAAAGTGTCAATGCAACAACAAAGACAAATTTGCATAATGATATCCACAAAAGAACAATTCTTATTCCTAAATGGTTGTCCTATATTTTAATAATACTTTTGCCTCTATTTCATGAAACTAATACTATGATAAATTCACAATTTGAGGATATTTCAAATATTGCTCATCGGGCTGTATATCTCATCAGCCCGTAAAGTCAAATGAGATAAAATAAAACACAATTCCAACATCCGTTCAGCCCTGATTGTCACACTTTAAACCTAATCTAACACTTTTGTCCCCTCTGACACGAAACGATTCTTAATCTGCTGTGACATTTTTGAAAATACATACATTTCATCCCTAGACTTTTCACCATTTTCACACATGATATACATATAAATGATAAGTGAAGAAAAATAACACCAAACCACAAACACAAAAAGGTTTCAAGCGAAGAATAATTCTTTCTAATATCACTTGAATTGAGGCGGTAAACAGAGGAAGAAACAGGAAACCCCATTGAATGAACCATTTAGGCTTCTGAGCTATAAGGTCATTCACAGTCCTTTCAGCATAAAATACTCTTCCCATTAGATTTCATAAGCATACAATAATATACATACACGCTGTCCCAGAGAAAGTAAATGTATAGGTCTTTGGTAACTTTCATCTCAAAGGGTGATTTTAAAAATAAAGGTTATGCATTCACAAACATACACTTGTACTGTATGTGGTCAGAGGCAAGAAGGTGTGATGCTTGAGATCAAAGTTGCTCTATACCGGTATAATGTATCTTGTGTACCTTAGTAATCATGAAACCTCAGTTTTCAAAAGCCGCCATAAGAAGGTATGAAGGGGTAGTTTACCCAAAATTCAAATAGCTGGTAACGTACTCACACTTGAACATTCGAGGAATAGTGTTTGGGTGACTTATTTTGTTATTTTAGAAATATTTACTAAAGTTGAACATCAACATTTATTTTTTTAATAGCTAAAAGCATGGTCCTTCATGTAATGGACATCAATGACAAAGCAATTGCATTTTTTTGAGAATAATAAAAAAGATCACCATCAACTCACCATCAACTCACTCTCATATGGTTCTAATCCTTTATGAGTTTCTTTTTTTCAGTTAAATAAAAATATTATTTTGATATTTTGAAGAATGTTGGACACTTGTAGCATTGTCTACCATTTCTTTAAAAATATTTTCTGTTGTGTTCATCAGAAGAAAGACATTTAAACAGGTACATGTTTATAACAAGCTGAGGGCGAGTCAAAAGTGACAGAATTTTCATTTTCATTTCACGGTTACATTGAGGTCTTATGAAGCAAAACTATGGTAAAAAAAAACAATAATAATTTTCATCCATTTAACAGCACATGTGGTGCAAATCCTCACAATAGATACACGTTAAAAACGTGCTGCATTTACACACACTGCAAACAAATTCATAAAAATTGTTTGCATTGTGAGAAAATGCAGCCTGTTTTTTTTTTTTTTAAATGTGTTTGCGTTGAGGATTTGCAGCATGTGTGCTATCAAACAGATGAAGATCTTTGAGATTTAATTAATTTGCTGCCGTTTCTTTTTGGTATAGCAGGTGTTTTCTTAAATTTGCAGCTCTCTTAGCCACTATACAAAATGCCCAGTCTGCCCAAAAAATAAAAAATAAAAAAATAAAAAAACATTATTTACAATCACCTTTAATCCATAGCCTTAGCTCCCAAAAAGCCCCAAATGGTGCTGGGAACATTCTGGAGCGTGAGTCTCCTTTCAATCAATGACATGCACAGAATTACACGCTTGCTGTTCTTTTGCAGTATAACATCAAAAGAACTTCACAGAGTCCCAACATTTGAAACAACTTATTGTGAGACAGGAAGCTTGAGTGAGTATGCTCAAAATGGTTTGTCGAGACTGTGGATCAAAGTTAATAATGTTGTTAATAATGTAACATTAGTTGCATAAAGTGAAAGTTTGGCTTCATAAGACCTTATAAGAGTATCAGCAGTCCAACATTAAAGAGAGAGTTAACACAAAAAACATCCTTTACTTGTTTCAAAACTTACAGGAGTTTCCTTTGTTAAACACAAAATAAGATATGTTGGAAACTTGTAACCATTGACTTTCATAGTATTAGTTTTCCCCACTTTGAAGTCAAGGGTTACAGGTTTTCATCATTCTCCAGATTGCTTTCTTTTTGAAGTAAGAAAGTCATAAAGCGTTGAAACCACTTGAGAGTGTGTGAATATCCCTTTAACTTTGGTTTGCATGTTTATGTTTTGGTAAACACTGATATTCATTATATGAGTCTGCATATATCTGCTGTAGAAATAAGTCACTTACATCTTGGATGGCATAAGGGTGAGTAAATTCACATCAAATTCTCATTCTGGGGATACAAACTATCCTTTTAAATGTTTCAACAATGTGCAATGAAATGTTTGTTTGCATTATTTGAAAAAGTCATTGCAGTGTATGTGCATGTGTATACTTTTTTTGCGAATAGCTCTCAATGTGAAAGTGATTTTTAAAAGGCCTGTTTACACTGTCAAAACAACCAACAGCAACAGACACTTCATTTTAGGATTCGATGGATCAGTATTATCACTATCCATGTCAAGTTGGCACTTGCTGGATCATGACATTTCTTTTCTATTTAAACTATTTATTTATTATTTAAATTTATTTACTACAATCAGGTGGTTTTCCATGTTGGTTAGTGTCTGTCTATGTAGTCTAAACTGGCGTTTATAGACCACCATCACCATACTGGACACAATATGGCGTAAAAATCACAAACAAAGTGAAAGCTATTTTCTGTATCATTTATATTTATACAGTGGAATGTGTAGTGATCAGAGAGCATAGTCCCTTTTTAGAGGTAGATTCTATGATGTTCTATGAAGAGTTTCTCCCATTTTTTTTTTTTTTGTTAATTAGAATCTAACCTTCATGCTCTATTTTAAGATATATTCAATAAGGTGTTTAAAAGTAGCTGTAGCTTTGATTAATATATCCACTAATAAAAAAAGGCCGGACAGAATAAATGAGTGCAATTTTAATACAAGGCACCTTATATTGGTGGAAAGACAGCTTTACGTGTATGTGTGCATTTGTCTGGGCATAAATATTTGTGTGCAGTGATATGACAGGATATGGTGATTCTCAGGTTTTGATGAGTGCAGGGATTTTAGGGGACCTGCATGTACACGTGTGAGCCATTCAGAGGTCAGTCGTGGCCTTGGCGGTGAGGGCCTGGATGCGACTGGTGTTGCAGTTTTTGCAGAGGACATGGCCATCCAGAGGGTAACAACCCTGGTTGTCTCCCTCAGAGAGAAGACAGCCGCAATCCTATTTTGAGAATAGATATAGATAGAAATAGTGTATTTGTTTTGCTTTAAAGTGTTAAATAATAGCAACCACACACAAGCACTTTGACTCACCTCACAGCGATAGCACTGCACATGGAAGTCACGGTCTAAGGCAACAATACGCACAGTCTCCTCCTGACCAGGTGCTGGCATTATGGGCTCGTTACACACAGAGCAACGAGGAGCAAATTTCCTGATAAAGGAAAAACAGAGAATAAATTACAACTAAATAATCTCTAGTAGCTACAAAGTAGCCCACACTAAAAATTGCAGGCCAAAGTTGGCTTGTGAAGGCCTTTGAATTGACCTATTGTATCATGTCATAGCATTAGTGGATAAGAGGAACTGGCTGATCAGATTTTGGTTGGTTTCAGAGAAAACAAACACACACAAACAAGAGCTCACTCACGCAACACAAAAACCTCAGACAGTCAGACAAGGACTCTCACTTGCACGCACATATTACCACACATACAGTCAGTTAATATGGCTAATATTTCAGCTCAAGTTCAAAGTTTAGTTTTTACTTTTTTTAGTTTAGTTTCTCAAGTTTATTCAAACATGCATTAAAGTATTAAGATAGCATGTTAGTTTTGTGTATAAATAATACCAGGGTTTCTGCAGGTCTCTTCAAGTCAAATTTAAGACCCTTTCAAGACAAATAAGGGTGACTTGAGAAGACTTATACAGAGCTAAACTTTAAGGATGTTTTCTAATAGCCTAGTTAAAAAGTTTTTGTATTAATGGAAGATCATGTAACGGGATGTGTTGCTTTAGTTTTCTTTCCCTGATAAGGAAATTTAATTTAGAGACATGTTTGCTGTAAAGATGTCTAACAGCTGTTAGCTGAATTGTATTATTCAAGTGTATTATTCAAAAAGACTAAAATAGCAGACTAAAACATCAGCACTTAAATCAGTACTTAATGATAACAGAAAACTTTTGTAGTTTATTCATGTTATGTATAAAATAGACAAAGACGTGTGACTTTGGTATAAATACCGATTTTCAGGAATGGCTCATCACCTGCTTATAGATAAGATAAGATAAAGGCTGATAATGGATAACCTAAGATAATGGCTGTTTATTAGTACTTATAAAATATAATCTTATTTTACATCCCTAATCCTGCTCAATACTGAAACACATCTACTATCTTACTAACCATTTTAAACATGAAATTACTACTCTTTTAATCTAAAAGTTTTAGTTAATGGTTTATTAATAGCAGTAATTGCAACTTAAAATATAGTGTGACAGATTTTTTTTTAAATTTTATCTGAATATACCATAGTTTGTTTATATCTCAAACTTTGCTCATACATGTATTTTATTAATAGCATTTGCACACATGAGTTTTAAATCATTTTTGCTGGAGATTAAAAAAATCTCCTAAAACTCGAATGGCTTAAGAAGGAGTAAATTGAACTATTTGGGTGAACTATTTCTTTAAAGCTGTATGTTATTAAAAATAACATTTTGTGCAAATGTCTGCTCCAGATACCACTGTGTTGAAAGGGTCATAAAACCCCTCTCTTTTAGTTGAAATCTATCTCCGAATAAAAAAAAAAATGCTTCATGATGATTCAGGAGTGGGCGTGGCTGGCAGAGCAGGGGAAAATGAAAACTGTGTATTGGCTCACAAAATGAGACAAATTGTGAGGAGACCCATGATTTTACTGTTTACAAAGTTAAAATGCAAAGAAATACAGTATACAGAATTACCGTAAATGATTTAACCCCTTGCAAATTTTGTTATTTGTAATTTTAAATAAACATACGGAGGACCTCTATCCTCCTGAATCTCCGGGTCTGAATGAAAACACAGTGGAGCAGAGCAGCAGTTCTTTCCCTATCTATTCCAACACATTAGCCTTGCCGGTAATCCGGAGGATTTAAAACATATGGCGAACACAACAGCATGGATATAAGTGATGTGTCTGAATGGTAAAGAACTCAACTGATAAAGACAGCCCGCCATTCTCCAATTTTCGTACAGCTCTCCTGGCAAAAAAAGCTTGCTGTAAACCAACAGCTTTGCTGTATTGGCCCTGATAGCATTGCAGGGAAAAACATGCAACAAACCCAAATGGACACATGGAAACAAACCCATACGACCCTTCATAAACGGCTAAATAGGCTACTGCGTGCCGTGCTGTGCCATGGTCTCACAGCTTGGCAGGTCTGCCTTGCCTTCAGAGAAGCATGTGCTCTCATGACTACCTAAGAAGCATGTCTTCTCATACAATAAGAGAACTCAGCTAAAAATAATACTGAAAAACCGACACGTCATCTCTGGACAGGCAGATTGGCACTACATCACCGATTTTGATCTCACCCCAACAAATATTTTAAATCTGGAAGATGAAATTAGCTGACAAAAGCTCAAAATTATCAAAAGTAAAGCTAACAGGGGCTAACTTTGTCTTAAACGATGCTCAACACACACAAATCTGTTGAAATCTCAACAAAGTACTCGAGGGTTTCTTAAACTCTTAAACACAGTTTACAAATACATTTTTGATTATTATCTAAAGGAAATGCTATCATTAATCAACAAGCTGATAATATTTCCCTATTGAACTAAACTCAAAGACAAATGCTTTAGAAAGCTGCACAATTAATACATTGTGGAGGAACCTAAGATAACAGAAAGAGGCAGTGAGGATGTACAATATACACAAAGCAAAATGCAGTCAGTTGATTCAACTTCTTCATTGGGTTTTACCAACAAAAAGTAAAAATGAGGAAGTTTGGCAGACAGTGGTTTGATTAATCCACACTAGTAACAATGAGTGAAGTCAAAGTATGGCACAACTGTTCCTCGACACAATAGCATTTCTGTTGCGGTCACAGTCTCACAATCATGCATTCCTTCTGAAACTTTTCAATTCCTTAAAACAAACAACAAACTATTTTCTTCAATAATAGGAGAGCTTTGAATATGCTATTTAAAAGGTACACACTAACTGAACAAAAAAAAGTTTTTATAGAACATATTTGGACCCTGATGAATTTTGTAAGTTATACATTTATCAGAGCTAATTAAAAAAGACATGTTATGTACTACATGTACAAAGAAAAAGTTGTTGTTAATACTTTTTCAGGATTTATCGAGCATATATATGTGTTTTAGGTCATACTTGTGGAAGTCCTCGATGCAGTGGATGTGGTTGGAGGCATCCACAGTAAAGGGAATGCCGTCCAGACTCCGATGGCAGACCACGCAGGTGAAGCACTGGGGATGATAGGCCTTCCCAGTAGCCCTCAGAATGCGCTCCATTATGGGCTTATAACATATGTTGCAGGTCTCCAGAGTGTTCTGAAACAAACAGAGAATCAAAGATCTTACATAATGTACTAGTTCAGCCAAAGCAGGGTGGAAAATAACACTCAGTTAGATTCATATCAGCACACAATTCAAGCTCTGACATGGCTTGGCACATGCAATAACCTTCAATCTTAAAAAAACTATACTTTTCATTTTACACATTGCACACGTGACAAAACAGCTCTTGGAGGATTACCTACTTAATTCCATTGAAAACAAAGCAGATGCTCAGCAGAATATTCAAAGTGACTTTTCAAGAATAAAAACGGCCAGTCAACAACACAAAGGAATAGTACACCTCTTCTGATAATTGGATAATTGTACGTCCACACAGATGTCATGAGTGAGTTCATGTGATAATCATTCACACTCAGTGATATACGACACAATTTTATGAGCCTGCGAATTCCAAAGCATAGATGAATTCCAAAGCAAAGCCAAAAACATGGACAGAGGAAAACATTGCTTTCACAGCCTGCCTGTCTGCCTATCTATCTATCTATCTATCTATCTATCTATCTATCTATCTATCTATCTATCTATCTATCTATCTATCTATCTATCTATCTATCTATCTATCTATCTATCTATCTATCTATCTATCTATCTATCTCTCTCTCTCTCTCTCTCTCTTTCTCTCTCTCTCTCTCTCTCTCTCTCTCTCTCTCTCTCTCTCTCTTTCTCAATTCAATTCAATAATTCCTTTATTGGCATGACAAATGTTACAAATGTATTGCCAAAGCAGTTATAAAGTTTACATAAAAAGTAACATACCTATATAATAATAATTTAAAAACAGTACACACAGTAAATAGTAGTAAAAAAGGGTGGTATTTATATATAATAATTAAATACAATTTTAACAATACATCATATTTATCAATATATCAATAATATAATCTCTCTCTCTCTCTCTCTCTCTCTCTCTCTCTCTCTCTCTCTCTCTCTCTCTCTCGCCCTGTCTGTCATAACAGCTGTAAATATAGACAAAACACAGTTTCTTTTCCAGCACTCTGGAATCAGTATGTACCGGGTGCCGGTTTATGCACCTTATTTAATAAACTTTATACATATCAATTGATCAGTGTTTGTATTTGATCAAAAGCTTAATTAAAAAAAATACTGTACAATACAGCATAAAGCATGTCTTTTTAGAAAACTTTGATGAGTGTGGTTGGCATAAAAGCAGTGGGAGAAGAGCAAGGCCAGTGTCATGGGGCAATGGCCACCGAACCCTTCTCAAATCCCACAAATGATAACAAGAGTGATGACAATGGCAGACAAGAGAGGAGCAGGTCTGGTGTTTTATCTATGTTTATTCAACAGTCACCATGAGGCAATGAAGCTTACTTTTGTTTTGTTTGATTGCTTGATTGTTTAACCCTTGTGCACTGCTCAAATTTACTATCTTTTTGTTATGTTTGGGATGAAAACATCCACTAAATAAAACTGCTGTAAAAATGCATCAGATTAATACAAAACTACTAAATGTTTGAAAAAAAAAATACAGGATTTTAACTCTTTAATTGGCAAGTATACAAACAATGTCTTTCCCAGAGATGGGTTATGGCTAGAAGGACATCCGCTGCGTAAAAACAAAAAAGTCCATTGAGAGCAGGCTATGTGGGCTGTCCGCTATCCGCTGGATAAGTTGGCAGTTCATTCCGCTGTGGCGACCCTGAATTAATAAAGGGACTAAGCCGAAAAGGAAATGAATGAATGACAAACAATGTCACTGATTTGGTGTATGTATTTTCAATATAAAAAGTAATTTTAGACTGGATTTTTCCCCCTTTTATCAAAGTCTTGGACACGTGAAAGATTTGTAACAACAAAGCTTTGATCATACCTGTCAACATTAGGATGTGAAAATAAGGGATAACCCCGCACCCCCATTCTCCCACAGAATAAATAGTATACATTGGAAAAAGCTGCAAATAAATTAGCAAACAGTTTAGCGTATTAAAATTAATAGCTATTATAAAGAATATGCTCATTTAAGACAAAATTTGTTGTGTTTAAAAGAAAACACTCCAAGATCGACATGTTTAGCAGTTATTATTATTATGTGTGCACGTCTGTTCAAACATGCACCCAAAACCCAGAGTGTCCACTTTCGATTCGCTTCAAATCATGTGTATAGAATCAATTTGGGTAACAGCGTCTAACTATCACTATTGGGCACTTCTGACAGTCTTTGTTAGATTAAATTTTTTCAAAAATCAAACCTTGTCGTTGTCCTGATGTACAGCCACAAAGCCAAGAAGAGCAAAATCTTCCGTGTCCTGTAATTGGTTTATGAGGTTGTACTTCTTCAGCTGATGAAAATAATGTGCATGATTATTGAAGTGTCTTCGACATCTTATAATTTCAGAAAAGAAAAGGACAAGCACGAGAGTGAAGCGTAAACAAACAAAGGAGAAGCTCGACAAAACACAGGAGCAAATTGTTTCAGCAACCTGAATCACGAACAAACTGCCATGTTTATCATCGCCTGTTGGACTATTATGAACTCTGAATGACAGAATTACTTTAACAGAGGTTACATGTGCTGGTGAAGATTACAGACACAGATGAGAAGTTTGCTCTGACTGTGGGCTATGTTGCGTGTTGTTTTTGAACCCAAATAAGGACTAAATGTATGCTGTGTGTAGTTTTTCTGCCATTAGTAACATATCGGAGACCTTAAGAGTCTGTATGTGTTAATATACTGTATGTTGCAATTATTTATTATTTATTTTATATAATTGCAGACGTTACAGTAGATCATTGATCTGCAGTTATAATAAAATTATGTTCATAGAAAAGTTAAAAATAAACATTTATACACAAGTATTTATGTGTATAAAGCATCTGTTTTGTGAGAAGAGCTTCTCATATGATACGTGTACGACCTGTACAGCTGTACTGTAGACATTTATTTGAGTGAGAATGACGATGACTGAAACTTTCTATCGTACACCATGCCCACCAAAAGGGTACCCTTGGTAGCGGAAACGCAAGCTTGATAAAGGTGACCCGTACCAAACCATACTGTACCAGTCAGTTGAAACGGGCCATTGGGGTGCCATAGAGGAGGAATGACCAGAGTCTGCTAACTTGAACCTTTGATTCTGGTGCTGAAATAGATGGATTCTCTGTGGTCTGGAGAAGATAGCAGTTGGTAAAGAAACAGAGAAGAATGCACCATTGAAGCCATGGAAGCCAGCGTCAGCCAACAGGAGACAGTACGATAAAGTATCAGGGGTATTCATGTTGGTGGTTTGTTTGTTTATGCAGTAGCGACTGTCGAAGGGAGTTAACAACTTACTTTTGTTTTGTCGTTTATTTTCATCTTGAAGTTTATTACTTACTGACCAGCAGTTCTTGCTTCTTCCTTTTCTAAGCTTTTTAAAGATTTATAGTAAGATGACTTTAACATTGTATATATTAACTTTTCAAAAGCATGAACGTTTTGGTGCTTGAATGGAGGAACAGGAAAATAAACATCTCCAGTTGCATTCAGAAGGTGAGTGAATTAGAAGACAATGAGAGTAAGTAAACGATGACAGAATTTTCAAGTTTAGATTTCTGAGTGAACAATTCCTGTTTGAAATAAGAGCAGCTTAGGCATTCTGATAGGTAACTACTTATTGTGTTCCTCATAATAAACAAAGTCAAACAGGTTTGGAATGACACGAGAACGAGTAGGGTGAGGCAGTGGCACAGTAGGTAGTGCTGTCGCCTCACAGCAAGAAGGTCGCTGGTTCGAACCTCGGCTCAGTTGGTGTTTCTGTGTAGAGTTTGCATGTTCTCCCTGCATTCGCATGGGTTTCCTCCGGGTGCTCCGGTTTCCCCCACAGTCCAAAGACATGCGGTACAGGTGAATTGGGTAGGCTAAATTGTCCGTAGTGTGTGTGTGAATGTGTGTGTGGATGTTTCCCAGAGATGGGTTGCGGCTGGAAGGGCATCGACTGTGTAAAAACTTGCTGGATAAGTTGGCAGTTCATTCTGCTGTGGCGACCCTGGATTCATAAAGGGGCTAAGCCGAAAAGAAAATGATGATGACAAGAGCGAGTAAATGATGACAGAATTTACATTTTGGGCTAGTAGGTGCATTAAATCCTATCTATCAACATGTAAAGGATTTCCACAGGATAACGTGAGCATCCAAATGGGTGTCAGAAGTGTATCTCTGTCCTCAAATGCCTGTAGGAAAAGGGGGGAGGTTCTGAAATAAAGTATATATAGTGAGCAATGGAATGAGAGTGAGATCTGATTAGCTACTCTCTGATTCACAAACAAAGTCATTTTTCACTCTCGCTTTCGTTCTGCGAGAGGCAGAGCAGTAAATACGTCCACTTTCTGATGACTGCAGGCTTTTCCTCAGCCACGGATACCGGGCCGCGGGCCAGCTGATGACTTTTCGCTCACATTCCTCTTCTTAATGTCCACCCCGAGCCCTGGATTTGTTATTTCAATATTTCATATAAAAGAATCTTCTATCCCCCCTCCCTCCCCGCTAGCCAAGCAATTACAGCAAAGGATGGTGAAATCATCTGTGTGTGATCAATTATAGGATGACTTTCTCTTTGAAAGCATGTGTGTGAGACTGACTTCACATGAGAGGCAGCGAAGCACAAATATTTCCTGGATTTCTCCATTTGGGATTCAGTCGCCCAGACACATCACAGTGTGTGTAAGTACTCCAGGCTACAGCTGTCCTCTTTGGCTGCCTGTCACTTTGGCACAGCTACTCAGCACTGTTTTCAAACACAGACTTTCATGCCTATGTGCATGTGTGGCAACACTGTAAGCCATCACGTTTGCGGTGCCAAAGAGCCCTGATGATTAGGCCTGACAGTTCTGTGGGTAAGATTGTGACATGTCGTATTTTGCAGAGCTCCGTTCACCACTGGGATTTGTCACTTAGATTTGTTATTTAATTAAAGAAATAATAACATTTAGTAGTATGATTTATAAACTTTATCAACACAGTAATATGTTACCCT